TCCTACCCTGAGCTGATTCCGCATCTTCGGATAGCTTCTCTTCAAGGAGCTTCCTAGCGTCAAGCGCCTCGCGTTCAAAGTTCGCCTTTTCGAGCTTCGTGGTGTCTATTTCGGCCTGTAGGTCACGTATTCTTCGCTGCATATCATCATGTCGATCCGATAACCCCCTTTTTTCTGTTTCGAGGCTTCGTTTTTCGAACTCATGCTTTTTCAAATCAGCTTTGAGAATTGCGACCTCGCCCTCTTTACGTCGGACTAATTCCTCATAACCCGTAGAGGTCGATGACAAATCCGCAATCTGCCTTTGAATTTCACGGTTTTCCTCAAGCAATTGCTTAATTTGCTTTTTAGACCCTTCTAACTCTTTGGTGGTGTTTGCTAATTCGAGGTCGAGTTGTTGGTCGGAAGACAAAAGCTTTGCTTCCAAGTCCTGAAGTTTCTTGTCCTTCATAGCCAGGTGACTGTTGAGGGTATTGATCTCCTGGTTCAGGGCCCCAATCTTCTCATCGTACTCGCCGTGTGTTGATTCGACGGATTTCAGCTGTTTCTCCATATCCGAAATGCGTTCCTGCAGCTCCTTCTTTTCACCCTCAAGCCTCTCCATTATCTGCGCAGCCTGTTCAAGTTGACCTCTTCGTAGGTCTAGTTCGTGTTCTATTTTTTTCTTTGCTGCAATCAGTTCGTCTAGTTGATCTTCTAGGCTTTCCTGATCAGCGATTGCCCCAGCCAGCTTCTCGCTCAGTTCAACTTCTCTGAGTTGCAACCGTTTGAATATCTCTTCCTTGTCTAATGCAAGGGAGCGTTCGCTTTCAAGGGTTTTCCTGATTCTCTGCATTTCCGTTTCTATCTTGCGCCTTTCATCTTCTATTCTCTGTCTTTCAGCTATGTCTTGTTGAGCCTTCGCTTCAAGCTGCTGGATTTTCTCGTCACGCTTCTTGACTTCTCCGGCTGTACGAGTCTCTCCAAGAAGTGGCTTCATTGTTGCGAACAATCTCCACCATGGGGATGATTTCAAGTTAAGATAGAGGTGAAAGTTGCGCTGGATGATTCGAGTAGCCTCTGTGCGGTATAGTCGTTTGTTTGCAATATGTCTTTGAATAAAGCCACGCGCCAACGACTGGAATTGCCTCATGATCTCACGAATCAGGGTATCACGTTGCTCTTCCAACTCTGCTAATACCCCAGCCCTGAAAAATATTTTTGTTAACCCGATTCTGAATAGTGACTTGTCAAGACCCAGCTTGTCGACCATATATGTCACAGCCATCTGCCCGTCCAAGTAGCCTTTGGGCATACCACGGCACAGAACTTCGTATCTTTGGCGGAATTCATTGAACGTTAACCGATTAGGGAAACCAGTTCGAGCAATTCTAATACCTTCAAGTACACCATTACATCGTAGTTGGTCCAAAACAAGTGGTCCATTGAAGAGTTTTGGTCGTTTCTTGTTATTTGGCAAGATGCAGCGAACGAAATGGGGATGAGTTGAATGTAGCTGAGCCATTAAGCTTGATAGCTGCTCCTTATGTCTCTGAGCGACAGTTCGGAAAAGACCCTTTTTGACAACACTCCGGGTTCCATTGGATACATCGTCAGCATAATCAGCGAACAAGTTAGCAATATGCGGGTCATTTGACTTGGACAACAGCCGTGTTACGTTGTCATTGAGGGGATCCTTGTTTTTTTCCAGCCAATTCTCCGTGTTATATTCTACCTCTGCAGCATAGTGAGTGAGAATGAAACCTTGGCTGAGTCGTGAGGCCCGATATTTTGGAGACTTTCGGTCCCATAAAGAATGAAGTTTTTCCGTAAATGTTTTGTCTGTAGCCTTTGGCATCACTGAATCCTCGTCAAGGCATGAAAATATACCGATCGGATTCGACAACTCAATAAGGTCGATTGTTGGTTGAAGGTCTTTCCCGAAATCGATGAATTGCCATTCAATTTGCTCCCTAGAGTATTCCTCCTGTTCCAGAACAAACATATGGTGGTTGAAAAATTGCTGCAATTTTTCGTTGGTGTAATTGATGCAGAGTTGTTCAAAGCTATTTGTTCCAAAAATTTCGAAACCTGCGATGTCAAGGACACCGATGAAGTAGGTCTCTTCGCAGCTGATTCTGCTACGGTCCAACTGGTGATTGATCCTGTTGACTAGGTCGCCAAATCCTCGTTCATATATACCCTTTGCAAGAGAATCTATCGCGAAACGGACTTGCTCGGGTGTCTGGACCTTTTCAACCCATTCTCGCCCAGCCTTCACTCGAGGGTGAAGCAATCCCTTGACAAAAGGCTCGAGAGGTATTCCTAGGAGATGACAAGCATGCATGACACTCTCAGTATCATCTTGAGTGAGCTTAGCTTGGTCTGCCCGTAGACTCTCCTTGCCAACCGTAATGTTTCCTAGATGTAGAACTGCAGCAATTGTGCGCAATATCGCAAGCTGGTCCTCTTCTTCAAACTTCATCGTATCAAAGGCTTCGACGAGAGTGTCCCACTCATCTTCGTCAGAGACACCTGCTATGGTATCATTCCCGTCTTTTGTGTATGCAAAGTCCTGGATATCGAGATTTGAGAGGTGCAGCTGCTCACGCAACTCTTTGCTGGCTCCATGGAGCAGCTGATAAAAGATGTGATAACTTCGCTCCTGGGAATTGAGCTTGACAACTCGGGACTTTTCAAGCAAGTACCAATCAATGAAGGCTCCACATATCTGGCCGGTGCGAGAGAACTCTATACGAATGAACTTTCCGAACCGTGACGAATTGTTATTGCGAACTGTCTGGGCATTTCCGAATGCTTCGAGTATAGGATTAGCTCTCAATATTTGTTGCGAGAGATCCCCAAGTTGTTTAGATGACGGCTTTCCCTGGGCATCACCGGGCGCAACAGCAGCCAGGTACTGAATAACCTTCTTTGTGTTCTCTGTCTTTCCAGCACCAGATTCACCACTATGATATCAAGTGTGAGCAACTCAGTAGAATTGAAGGAAATAGGCGTGTACTTACGTAACAAGGATGCTCTGGTTCTCGCCCTCTTCTACAAGATTGCGAAAGGCTTCATCTGCCATTGCAAATATATGTGGTCGTGTGTCTTCTCGGCTTTGTCCTTTATACATTTTGACATATTCATTGGAGTATATAGGCAAAGGACAGTACGGATTCACGGTCACCAAGAAAAGTCCAGAGTAAGTCTATATGCCCAGTCAATAATGGTGTCTAGTCTTAGTTCTCCAACAGCGGTGTAAACATACGTAAATCAAGTCAGCCTGGTACCGGGTGTGTAGATTATGAACAACTGAGCCCTCATTTAAATGGGTAAGCTCAGCCATGTCGTCGGCCTTATCGAACTTTGGAGGGTTAACTTTATCAACGCCCTCCGGGTCAACTTCAACCTGCTATTATTTATACCAGCTGTCAGAACCTCCAACAAACACAAGTAATGAATGCCTATAAACTCACGCGCCCATCGTCACATTGCACGACCAGAAGGCCACCCTCTGTTTCTCGAACAACAGCGCCCCGGATGAACGCTCGTTCGGGATCTTTAAGCCACACATATCTTTTCCCGGAAAAATCATTATCACCTTCTTCGCCCCTAATCTGATCGGCTCCTCTCCGTAACTCTTCTGATTTTATGAACTTTGGAGCAAAGGTATTTGAGGATTCGGAGGTGTGTCGTGCTGAGTTGGATCGTTGTCTGTTTATGCCGTTGGTAGGAGTAGGGTTTAATGGAGTCAAGGAGCCATTTCGTGCATGTCCCGACGCGTACGTCTGCACAGGTGATGTGAACGTAACTGACTTTGGTCGACCGGACACTCTGGGAGCCGCATCTGGAGGAGCTGGAGAAGGTGAAGGAGAGCTCCGGGAAAAAGGATTGTGTCTTCTGGACGGGCTATTAAACGAAGGATGCATCATTACAGAAGGTCAGTAAAGGAATTAATTGGTATTAGTCGTTAAACGGGCGTCAATTCATGAATAGCCCTGAGGAACGATAACGAGGCACCCTTAGGTGTAGGGTCATGGGAGTGGTGACAGGAGCAGGTTGATGGTCAAACTTGAAAACAAATAATTTCAATACTAAAAAAAGAAGAAGCAGAAGCAGAATTCATATCACATCAAAAATCGTTTATTCTGTCTTCTCCGATAAACCTGGTAGGTTAGTAGCCATGGGTTTGTTTGCGGCCTTGAAATCCCACCATTAATCGACTTTTAATCGCCAACTTTAGCGTTGTTTGTTTACATCCTTCCTGTTCGGGGCTAGCACAAGCACTGCGCTTGGCGCTGGCGCTTATTCTTATCACGTGATGTAGAGATTCCGCCAAGCCTTAATCTTTTTTTCAACTCCCTGATATCAAATTCAAAGGGAAGACGAACATCTCGAAGTTGGACACTTTTTCTATACTCGACAACTGAAGGAATGCGCGTCTCCTGCCTGGCTTGTGCTATTTGATAGGTTGACAGATCACTCATCTAGTTATTGACTGGCCACAGAAGTTCAAAGCAGGTGGCACTTTATCCCTTTTTCTCCCGCTCCTTCACCTTGTACTTTCGTTCTCATGCCTCGACATCAAACCCTTGAACCGCATAGAACCAACCGCAGTTTTTCTTGATATGCGAACTTCCAGATAAGAATGATTATCTCCGCTACATCTGGAAGCATGTCAGGGTATCAGCAAGCGCCATCGTATGGGGGTTTTGATCCCCGTTGGTCAAATAGCCAACCCGTAGGCTACGACCCAAATATGCCCTATCCTTCATACGATATGGAACGACCTTATTTCCCCGCTCATGATCCCCAGACGGTATATGGCGCTAGTGCTGGTTATTTCCAGACAGGGGATCCTCGGTACCTACATCCACAGGCATCATATCTATTATCTCAACCTGTGCCGGTATGCATCGCCTTTGTGTCTGTTTTCATACTCGTAATCTTACATATAGATCCAGAATCATACACCAGCTACGTATCAACGACCCGCTGACGCGCCGGAACTGGAAAAAATGCCAGACGCGATGGACGTTGACGCGAGGGAAGAAGGCGAGCTGAGCAGCTGTGAGGAAACCGTTGAACAAAGGAGTCCTAACCCGGAGAGACAATTTGCACCTTACGCGCAGAATTCTAGAAGCATACAAAGTGCCGCCGGTAAAAAACCACAACAGAACGAACCACAGTCACCCTCAACCAACTTACATCGACCAGTGCAGAATAACCTAGAGAAAACTAATTTAACGAAGGAAAATGCTCACGCGAACCCGTTAGCTGGGAAGTCTCCTTCTCAATTGAAAGCACTTGCTCAAGGAGCGTTATTGAATCTCGCCCCCCACAAAATTCGCTATAATGAATTGGTTCGGGAGGGGATAGATCCCATCATATTGAAGAGCTTATATGATGAAATCGGAATAAAGGTCACCACCGAGCCGCTCGCTAAATCTGTTGCAATCGTCAAAGAGTTAGGCGAGCCTAAAACCTCAAATACCGTTTTTAGTCCTACTGCAAATCCTATTGCACAGGACGAATCTGTAACCAAACAAAACGCTACCCAGGACACGGGTGCCAACTCTAGCAAGCCCATGGAGCGGAAAGACGTCATTGCTCGCATGCTAGCCGCAAAAGCTGCCAAATCTACACCACCTTCGATACCTACGGCTAAAACCGTGAAGTCAGATCAGGCCACTGCATCTCCGTCACAGCCAACAAAAATGGCAATCCGGAGTCTTGATGAAAGCTCCCCTCAAAAAGCGCAAACCTCGGCACAAGCTACTCGTGAAGAAGTTAGAGTGAAAGAGAAGAACAAAGCTCAGACGGAATTAGCTAGGCAACGAATGGAGCAACTTAAAAAGCTCGGGCTTGGGAAATCAACACCTCAGATTCCTGGTCTCACCTCTTCTCCGTTGACATCTAGTGCGGATATTCCCGTCTCAACTGTTCCGCAAGAATTGCGCTCCCTACCACACTCCTTACCCGACCGCCCGCCACCGTCCGGGATGCCAGGAATAACTCAAATTCCCGGCCTCGTTCTGACAGAGGCTGACTCTCACAAGACGAACGACTCAGTTACTGCTGAGAAACCACAAGATGGTCTCAAGGACAATGCAGAGACATCTCGTGCCCCAAGAAAACGGCCAAGAGCTTCGGATTTTACTGATGATCCCGAGGAAACACAAACAAGGAAACATCAGTTATCAACACGCTCAGCCAGTGCTGAACAGAAAGTTATTATTGATATCAGCGATGACGAGGCAATGTATGGTGGTTCTGACAATGAAGGCAAAGCAATGCCAAACCATACAAATACGCCCCGTACAACTCGTTCTACGAAATCCACAGCTCGTAACTTGCCACCATTATCCGATTTTCCACCCAAGGGTCGTGGCTCCCATCATTCCACTCCTGGGACTACGTCAAATACTCCCCCGAATCCCGCCAATGGTCTACTACAGAAAAACATGGAGATACTGGCCATGCGTCAAAGAATTGCGGAACTAGAGGCTCGTCGCATTAAAAAGCAAGCGTCAAGCCAAAATCAAAGTTCCGGTTCTTCAAATGCGTCAGCCGGCGTAACCTCCGATGGAACTATGCAAGAAACTGAAAATTCTTCATCTGAACTCGAAAATGCTCAAAAGGTGCCCACGCCGGCTGTTGAGGGGGGAATAATCGGGATAGTTGACTCGGCCTCTCCATTACCAAACTCTACCTCTACTACCTCCAGTGTCCAACCACCAGCAGCTTCTAACCTCGGTGTCAACCGTGCTGAGGAGTTACGGCTGAAGGCTCTCCGTCGAAAGGAAATTGAATCCGGGCTCCCACTTCTGGATGCAGAAATACTCAAAACAGAACAGAAGTTGGCTGAATTTCGCGAGCAGGAAAAGAGACTGGTCGATCAAATTGCTAAAGGCCGAGAAGGTAAACGCAAGCTGATCGAAGAACTAGAAAGCCTAGGGATCGAAACTGAGGGCTTGTCAATGTCAGAGCTCAAGGAAATATCGGATGAAGTGGGAAATATCAATGATAGTTCTTGTAAGTGATGCCCTATAATTTCACACGCCGCTAATTACTAACTTGGTATAGCCAAACAGGATATTCCGGCAAATACATCGACCACAGACCAAGAAATACAAAGGTCTCCGGCCGACAAAGAGGAGTGCCTCGCCACTAGCATCTCCAGCTCAACAGAAGTGGCTCACAACGTCGAAAATCTTGTAAGTCATCAAGATAGTACGGCGCATGAAATAGGAAGTGCGCAGGATACAGTCATGGAAAACGCATCTTCTGGTGGACCTCATGAAACTCGCGAAGAATCTTATTCTAGTTCTGCTATGGACGAATCCATGGGAAGCTCAGAAGACGAATCAGGTGAAGAATCAGCTTCAATAGCTAAATCCACCTCATTAGGCAGTCCTGACGGTGACGAAATGGTCATTATGAAGGACGCTTCCCTCTCAGAAGAGGATAAAATCTCACAGGATATACCTCAAGAGAAAAGCACAAATTCCACATCGTCGAATCCAGATAATGATGGCGAACCCCAATTTACTCCTCGGGGAGAATCTGTTGCGTCTGAGGGATATGAACCCCCCGAGCCTGACACCTTGGAAAGCCCTCCATTCAGTCCCGCCCCTCCTCAACCCATAGAACCAATATCTATGGAACTCAGTCCTGGACCCGAAGATCCAGATGCACATGCGCTAACTCTTAGTAAACAAGAAGCGGACTCCCCAGCTATTCTGGCACCCTCCACGGTACACAATCTTCTCTTTACACTTGCAATTATTGATCACTAATATAGAGCTCACAGAATGACGCTGATACTTCCTTGCATCAGTCCAGTTGTCGTTTCAGCCCTTACCGTAGTCCATTGAAACTATTTAGGGCATACCGCTATCACCCCGATTTCACAAATCTTACAAGTGGTGGTTTTCGCTCTCTGACTTACAGTCATAATATTGATCCACACAAACCCCTATGTGACCTTGAGATTGCCGGTGGCGTTTGTGACGCTCCCTCATGTGGTTTTCAACATTTCCGTGATATGAATCTGAGTGGTGCGTTGAGGGGATGATCGTCTTCAGATTCTGGCTCCTCCTTATCTTTCCTCCTTGATACCCTTTATGTCTAAATTCCTGATCCCTTAAGATATTCCCTGTCCCTTTCGTTCATTGGCTTGGAGTGATTGGCTGACGAATAGGCGCTGTTAACTTTCATAGATGACAAAATCCTCGTTGAAATGGGTTCTTTACGAGAAGGAAAAACCCCAGCTGAACGAGAAGAGTATGTGACCGGGCTCAGGCAGATAATCAACGATATGAGGCGTGATAAGGTGAAAGATTTCTCCGTCGTCGCGCAAGAAATTGCTGCATATCGCCGACGCTTCCTTCAGGATCCTTCCCGAGTTTTAGCTCTGTAAGCCCTTTCCACCCATTGCCACTCGACCAGACCGTAGGAGAAAACACCAAAGCCAATGCTTCTACCCCCCTTTGAAGAAAGGTGAGATGATGGATTCCAGGGGCCACGAACCTAGTCTGTTTTCTAATATGCAGGACTGCTTGAAGGGTCGTTGGTTCTGATAAGTACCACGCCGGCCGCCATTTTGCACATATTAAACAGCTTTACCCGTTTTGGTTCACGGGCTGTTTTCTAACAGCCACATTTCTGTTCCAAGATCTCTTACACTTCAAATACCCATATCCTTTTCTTGGTGAGCGTATCATTACTCTGTTGCCTGTGGGTATCAGGGATGTGATATTCATTTGAAGTACGACAATCATCGAGTTTATCTTCGGACTAGCGTAGCATGCATATATTTTACTTTCGACATTTTAGCACCCAGCTTCGATGTTTTTTGTTTTATACAGAGCAGGTGAACATTAACCTGTCTATTCAGCGATATCTGGCGGCCCGAGCGCCTCTGTTCTGGCTTCCCATATAATGGGGCTCCAGTTGAAGTGAGATATGTTTCCGAGGTCAGGGGTGTATAAATACAGGGAGGCTATATCTTGCTGTTTATCTGAATGGCGAAAAGAGAGAGAGATACTGAGGTGATAGAAACAATGCATTGGTAGCACGATGTATCCTCTAGATATCCCTTTGACACCAGATGACTAGGGATTTCTACTGGGTCTGATAACCAGGAAGAAAGAGCATGAACAACACTTGGTTGGCTGTCCCTTGCATTATGCTGGTGCTTCGTGCGCTGGGTGGCTCAATGCCACGGTCGAGCCACGTCTCCCCAGGCTCAAGACCCGGCTTCATTCTTATCGATATACTTCTCTTGATGATTTTGTAACAATAGCTCCAATACATTCATAATCCAGAAAACTTTTATTCCTTTCACTTCTATATACTTGATTCATGGTAAGGTATATACTGGAACCCCCGTTTGGCCCTCTAATGACAATGGTATGTGTATTGAGACGATCCGCCGTCTCTAACGCTTGTCCTGAAAATTTTCTGTACGCTGTACATAGACGATGGGAAACCAGAAATTAAGACGTGTCGTATAACAGGGAGATCAAAACTGCGCAACTATTTCTTTTCAGAGTTTTCCTCGTCCTCAACGTATGCATATTTCGAATGTCGGCGGATAGAATCGCCTTTGTAATAGAATACAAAGGGAATGGCGCAACAAGCCAGAGCAAGGAATGCAATAAGCGAGCTAGCCCACTGATCTCCCAGCCTTTCATACATCTGGGTGGTGAAGAGAACGCAGCATGCACCCCATATCGAGCGTAGGAACGTTTTTGCAGCGAGAGCGGAAGCTGCTTGGTGTTGGTATGTGTCCACTAATTCAGGGGTCGGATTAGCAATTGCATTCATACCATTCATTCCATAACACAAGGACGTACCTAAATAATTATTGCATGAGTTATAAAGGAAAATGAAGCCAAATCCTACTGGAAAGCCACCAATAGCAGGCCCAATCCAGTGGAGATGGGGATATGATGTCCAGGCAAATATGAATATTCCGATCGGGATAAACCAGCAGGAGAGCATCATAGGAATAAGGCGAGTTTCGGCTGGAGGCTTGCCGTTGTGTTTTGTAACAAGGGTTAAATAATGCTTGTTGATAAGGGGAGCAAAAAAAGAGCTGCTAACTACCCCTATGGCCAGAGGAATGAACATGAGGCCCGTGGTGCTCGCTGAGTAGCCTTTCCCTTCCTCATAAACAATTGGATATCTAAATAATGCTCATGTTAGCTGTGGGCTACTATTGAGACGACTTAGATTAAACTCACGCAACGAAAAACATGTATAAGAGGCCATAGAGCATAGCCATGTAGAGAGAAAGAAAGAAGACGATCGGTTCCAGGAATAGAAGCTGAAAAGGTCTGATCATGAAAATGCGCAGTTTCTCTCCCATTGGTCGGGAATCCAAATCGGCCTCCGTAACGTAAGAAGTGTCGTTTTTCTCTCTCTGGAGTTTCTTAGCTCGCTTTGCGAGAATCGTGGGCGTGTATGTCTCGGGAAGGGTGAAGGTGATGAGAAGGAATACAACACCGGCAAGGATGAGTTGAATCCAGTAAAGCCATCTCCATCCTGCAGCATCGCTTAAGAAACCTCCGACAAGCGGCCCGATTGCTGGCCCAATAAAAGGGGCAGCGCTGAATGCAGCCATGGGGACTCCTCGTTCTTCCGTGCGCCATAGATCGGCCAGAGTACCGCCAACCAATGTCATGGGAGCAGAAAATGCAATTCCGTCGATCAAGCGGCATACGAGGAGCGTTCCTATGTTTTTCGAAACAGCACAAGGTATTATAAATACAACGGCAAGGAACACGGTTGAAACATAGACAGGTTTTCGACCAACTAGTTCTGACGCAGGCGAAAAAGCCATTGGCCCTAGAGGTTCAACATCTATTAGCACATTCTTCCCTAGTTAGTTATAAGACTGGCAACCATAAGACGTACCCACACCAAAGCCGATGACAAAGACTGTTATTGTCAGTAGAGCGACCTCCTGGGATACGTGGAATTCCTCCATAAGGTCCTTAAAGTCGGCCGTGATTACACTGCTGCAAAAGGCGACCACGAAGCAGGTCAAAGCCACCACCATGGTACAGTACCATTTGTACGCCTTGCTCCAGTTCTTTGGGTTTTCTGGATCTCCAACGGTGAAGGTAACAAGCTTATAATCTTCAATTTTTCCAGTCACATTTGACTTCACGGATTTGAGTATTTGTCCATTGGTGGTCTCTGCAGTGTACTCCTCGAAATTAGCCGTCTCTTGTAGCTCGCGATATGGCAAGTCCGTAGCCTCAGCTCCAGCAGGGACCGGGGGTGCATGGCGGTGATCTAGGTCTAGCGAGGTCGAGCGGGATGAATTCGCCATGGTGATGCAAAATTCCCCCGTTTCACGGTAAGGAGGATTGTAAGGGCTTGCTTGGGTAGCACGGAGGAGAAAAGGGTATCAAGAGCATGGTGATGGGGACGTATATATACTACGCAGTATATATATATATATCCTGCACGGCAATTCTATGCCGATAATTCCACACATTTATTGTAGATTTACATCATCAGCCAAATAGTCCAACATTGCTTTGAGTGTAGCGGCAAAATTTCGGGCCTGGTGGAGCTCGAATATTGATCCTCGGCCTGATAAAGAGCAAGCCGCGGGCGAATAAAGTCCGGAGAATGAACCAGGCGGGTTAAAGCCCAAGGTTGAAAAGCCATAGATACAGTGTCTATGGAGAGCCGTGTATCCGGCTGGGCAAGGGCCGCGGCAGTCTAACGACTCAAAATGGCCCCTGAGGCGGTCTTCAAACTGGCCTGGATGCAGTCCTCATAGAGAACAGGTATGACTTGGGCTCGTTGATGGGCAACAAACTCCGGAATTTTTTTGTATATTTTTTGATCTGAAGACGTCCAACAATTTATATTACCAATTTGAGGCTGGTTTCTTGCTGGATATTTGATATTCTCCTGTTCTTGCGTACAATTTGAAAGCAGTTTTTCTCAGTGCGTAAAGATTTTTTGATATAAAAAGCTGTAGCGAGCCGAGTTACAGCCGGAAGTGTGTTAATAAACAACGGTGCTCGGATGAAACTCGGCTCTTCGCAAAAATATAATTCCACTGCCGTTTAAAGTTTGATGGAAGGGTCCATAGGGCCGTCTGGGGGTTTTTCGGAACGGTAGAAAAATTATTCCGAAACTATAATTTAAAAAAGTACTAATTTATTAAGGAACTATAGAAATACTAGAGATATTCTAAAATATTCTAACTAAATATATATATTTCTACTAGTTTATATATAGATAACTTTTTAATATTAAAAATATTTAATACTACGATAAATTAG